ACTAGGAACGTGGAGTTTCAGTAAGGGGATATTCGAAAAATTCATTGGTAGAAATCGCCTCTGCAGTCAAAAGAATGGTTTTGACAGTGGATCCAAACTTCGAAAAAGATCAAACCAATGCTACAGACAATTAAATAATTCATGATATGTTAATTGCCAAACGATTTTCCCTGAACACCGCGAACAACTTCAACTCGGCTCGTCGCCGCCGTTTGGGTTGTTCAACATTTTTAACTATTTAATCTACTACTCCACTGATTACGACAAGCAGGGACTCGCCACTCACAAGTCATTTGAAGATTATCGCTTATTCAATGATGACTACGTGGAATATTTACTAACTGCCCAGTTGAATGAAGAGGGTGTTCACGTATGCGTAGCCAAACTGCGGCCTTTCACGAATATCCAAACGGATTAAGGAAAGGAGTATTACGATCTCTGGTTTATTTTGTGGGGTAGAGGTGCAAACCGAGGCATTGTACTTCAGGCAAGATGTAAATGTAAAGGTGGTCGAGATGGGGGAGGTAAGCACATTGCAGCCGCTATGCACGCCCTTGAATGACCCAGAGCAAATACTCAAGAGTGCGAGGTAAATAATTTTGGTGACCGAGAAAGGCGAAAAACCCTCCTACAAAAAAAAGAAAACATAAACACACGTACTCCCAAAATAGTGCCTTGTAAGCGGCGAGTCCCTGCTTGTCGTAATCAGTGGATTAGTAAGTTAAATAGTTAAAAATGTCGTACAACCCAAACAGCTGCGACGAGCCGAGTTGAAGTTGTTCGCGGTCTTCAAGGAAATTGGATTGGGAATTAACATATCATGAATTATGAAATTTTCTTCAACATTGCTTTGATCTTTTCCGAAGTTTGGATCCACTAGCAAAACCATTCTTTCGACTGCTGAGGCGATTTCTACCGGCGAAGTTTTCGAATATCCGCTTACTGAAATTCCACATTCCTCCAAGTATTTTTTTAAGTTTTGCCACCACATTCATGGCGTTAAAATCGCTCTTATTCTTCTGAATTTTGAGCCTGGCCGGAACTTTTCGAGTTTTCTGACTTTTCGAGACTTAAGCAATGGAAAATGTATATAGTAATGGGAACGTGAAATAGCGACTCGTAGTGTCCGAACTTTCGCTGTTTGTTTACGTAAAAAATAACGTGACACTACACGTGAAATCTAACGCATAAAAGGTGAATTGTGATTTCCCCGGTTACATTTCTTAAATCTGAGTAACACCAAACTATATCTGATTGTCCACCTGGTTGCTGTGTGGACTTTAATATATCCAAGTCTATCTCATCACTGAGGTTACAATTTAAATTTCTACAAATCTCTATTAGCAATAGGTCTCAATTAAATAAGATTAGGAACGTCTGGTAAATACCTCCATGTTCCATTAACACGGAAGGCAATTTTGAAACGGAAATCACGGAGTGCCGATTGCAAACGAACCTTCTAGTCACAATTAGATATAGAATGTTTAGGATTTTTCAAAACTTCTGTTGTCTGGGAGAGCGCGGTTAAAGCCATGCGAACCTAACCGAAAGTGCACGAAAAGCACACACAACCCACAATTCCTCTATTCGCTCCGACGAAGGGCTAACGCTCGAAACGTCAGCTTTTGGAATCATTACGGTGGCTAATTTACCACTTCAACTTTGTTGATATATCCAAATTATTTCGTTACTCCCACCGACGCAGCCCCAAACAGTTTCTTTCGAAACTATCAGCCTTTATTCATTCGTCTTTTTACAAGCTTGCCCTCTTATGATAAGTACAGTTAAATAATTTATGCCTATGAAAATGGAAGCTTTTGTCAAAATATTTACTCAGCAGTCAAGTTTTGAGGAAAAGGTTAAGACAAGAGACAGAACCTCTATTCCAAGAAATCTTAACTATGCTACGTAGAAGCGAGCAACGTCATAATTACTTGTGTGCAAGAGACCCACTCAAGAAATTCACCATCTTGCGCTTGCATTTTTTAGTTTGAATCGTTGTTTGGTGAAATTTACGGCAAGAATTTACCGTCATATTCGTATTGCGTTTGTGAATGGAAGCATTGTAAGATCGAAAGTTGATTGTTACTTTTAAGAATTGAACGAACAACCTTTATTTCCAAAATCGAGTATCCTTTTCCATGTTGAGCTCATAAAAGTCGATTTGAATGGGGACGGAACAGAAAAACCATCTCGAAAACTTTAAAACTCGCGGCCAAACTGGATTGGAACTTTGCAGTCAATATTGGAAAAAAAACTTCTCCTTCTTAAGGCACATATGCATGTTGCATGACCATTAAAATAGATTTCAAGATACTTTGCATCTGTTTGTTAATGAAGATCACCCGCAAAATTAAAAGAGTGGCATAACACGCACAACAGGCCCACGGAAATATGAGGAAAGGTAAAGTATTGTTTATGTATCCCACCAATCACGTAGCTCCTTTTTCTGCCTTTAAAAGCACACATAACCCACAATTCCTCTATTCGCTCCGACGAAGAGCTAACGCTCGAAACGGCAGCTTTTATAATCGTAACGGTGGCCAATTTACCATTTCAACTTTGTTGATATATTCAAATTATAAAGTATTGTTAGCTTGACGTCAATTATATGTCTGTGTGCCAGGCTATGATCAAAAGCAAGAATTAATCAAGCTTCGCATATAGTTAAGCTTACATACAATGTAAGATGACTTACGTTCGCGCAATTGGATTTGATTACATCAAAGTTTAGCTCTGTGATAGAGAGGAGTTAAGGGATTAAGGGTTAATGAGTTATCTCCTTAACTGGGCTTATTTCAGTTATCCCTAAAAAGCATGCCATTTAACTTGATGGCAGGAGAGTTATCGGCGTCCTTTGCTTTGAAATGACTTGCTTCCCCACGATTTATTGAATACAAATCAAAACACGCAATTCTTGCGTGCTAGTGACGAATAATGCTTTGAGAAATTCCCTTGGGGGTATTTCATGTGGCACGTAGCACTTAAAAGTGCATACGTTAAAGTGCACCTACACCCAAAAAATTTTTTTCGCTTAACGAAGTAAGCTTATTATTTTGAGTATTTCTGCGCAAAATTTTTTTTATTTGCTCAAATCTTCAATTTTCTATGCCCAGTCAAAATACGGAAAATCGGCCGCCATCTTGCCCCACGANTTTTTAGTTTCTTAATGCTATACAGTTGTTTTACGTGCTTTCAGAATGTTCGGAAATACATCACAAGGTATTATTAGATGTAAGTATATGTAAGGCATCTAAAACGTCGTAGTAGAATCAGCTGAAGGCTTCCACTAAATCCTGGTTCATTGACTATTCTCTTCAACTCTTCGTCACCAAAGTAAGCTTAAAAACATCTTTTACCTTCCCGTTCCAGTTGTTACGATATTCAAGTGGGCTTGAATTTCCCCCGCGTAGTACTTTCGCTCAATAGAGAAATTTTTCCGCCATTGTTCCGATCTAATTTCGGTTACTACGGAGACTGTAAGTGTTAGATGTATATATTTTAATTTCGCTGAAATGCTACTAGTCTGAGGCGATCACTTTTCAGAAATTTCTCAGCTTGTATCATAAAGATTCAAACATTTTTTTCAAAATTATTATGTTCCTTTGGTTAAACACTTATTGACTAAGTTGGTTCTGGGCGGAGCCGGTTTCAGTGTCATGAACTCGTGCCAGGCATTTTCAGGAAGGCAAGCCCATGAGTTTTAATATAAAGCTACTCGGAGTTAGCACTAACTCCCTCACCATCAGTGTGTTCACATAGGACTATATCAACCACAGGTTACTCCCTGGAGATCTTTGACTTTCTGCCATCATTCTTGCAGATCATAAGTAAGTTTTAACCTTAATTTTTATTTTTACTATTCTGTTTCTCATTAACCGTCTGATTCTGTACTAAACATCATATCATGCTAAATTGTATTTTAGTGTTTTGTTCAACTTTTTTTTTCACACCACTTCAAAGCCAAATGATGGTTTCTCAGCCTATTGTTACAATCCAACGACAATAGCTCGATTTTCCTCTTAGCTAAACCAAAAATATCGCTGCTTTCGCATTCTGTTGAAAATAGATTTCGTTACTCAATCACGCGGTTTGTACTGTTGTCCAATCGGAACACGATACTTGATTGACATAGGAATTTTACTTCGCGCGTGTTGTGTTAGACTGAAACACAATACGCTCGAATGAACCAGGGATCATTTATGGAAATCTGTTGGAAGTCTAGAGGAGTTTTTCTTCAATGAACTAAGGAACATTCATTAAAAATCTGTTGGAAATCTAGAGGAGTTATTCTTCCTTTTCTACACATTCCTTTTTCTTACCTTAAAAAGTGTTCGGTGCGTGGCCAGGTATGTTAAAAATGTTTGATAAAAAAGAATTAAACAGTTGACACTGACCAAAAATATATTGTTCTGGACGTTTTGGCAACTGCTGTTGAATTTATAATGGTTTTATTTTCTTTAAATTTTTACTTTTCACTTGATTTCAAATTATAGTCATTTTACATTTATTTTAATTCTACTTCACTTTAATTTTTAATGTCATTTTATTTATATTTAACTTTAAAAGTTGGTTGGTTTAATGTTTATGTGTAGTTTTATCATTTTTTTTTCTCTTTTTACTCAAAAACGTACCCAATATATCGTCTTCAATTGGCGGTTGACATGACTGTTGGAATAAAGTTTGTGTTGAAATTTGTCCAGAGGTATCCTTTTAAATGGGATAAGGACTAAAATTAGGTTCAAGAAAAAAAACAACGAAGTATCACTTCGTGTACATTTAGTACTGGTGATGCTTAAAGCCGTCGCTACCGTGACAGGCAGGTAGAAGTTCCTAAAGCGAAGATTTTTGTAGTCGTATGTACATCAATTCATTCCTAAACGAGTTCCTTTGATGAG